GCATCTATAACTACTTCATTGCCCTCATAAAAAGTGGATATAGTAAAAGAGTATTCATAAATCTAGAGTACAAATACCTAATGGTGCAAAATTACCTCTACAAAGACTAAGCCAGGACTGACTAGACCCACTGTATTTAATCCTGAGTCAGAGAATGTTAATGTGTGGTTATGTTGTGAAAAAAACACATTTGAAATAATATGCAGAACTGCTTCAACAGTTCTGAATGTACTTCACTCTAAACACATTTTTAAAAAGACGCACCTCAGTTGTTAAAAAAGTTTACATTTTCTGCTATGCAAACAAGATTGGATGTAAAGATTTCTTTTAATTGAAATTATGATATTCTGATGAAGGAAAATTTCCTCTGTTCTATTGTACTTAGAAAGGCTGAACACATGCTCAAAGCTAATTAACTATAGCTCCTTTACAGCTTAAAAATGAGACAAAATACATTAACATGTACATTAGAGATGTTTTATGCCATTGAAAGCATGCAATTTGTAGATTACAACAAAGAAAAAATCTTTTTGCAATCCTATTTTCACTAAATCAATGAACTTGTTTTATTTGCATTTGTCTTCTGGATGTCAGAAAATAGTTTTGTTGTATGTAAGTGAATAGCTTGCTGATTTCATTTCATTTGTTTTGTTAGTTTTGTATTTTTCAGGAAATAATAGTATCTTGAGATTAAATCAAATCATGATGCAAAATTTTTCTCTATTAATTTTCACAATTAAGAATAATACATTTTGTAATATTTGAAAAAAAAAACTAAACTTTCTATCGAGTTCAGAGAACAAGAATTCAGAAGGACTCATCTTTACCGTTATAAATTGATAAATTCTTTACAAAGCAAACTTAATTTCTACAGAAACTGATGATTCTGGCCTCTGTGGTGCTAGGTCTTAAAGCAGTGTTATTTTTCAAAATGAAATGAGAAAAACTATCACTTTCTCACAGATTTTAAAACTGTGTGTAGATGTCAAAGCAGGCAGACTCTCCCTGGACTCTCTTACAGTGATTAACTTATGAACTTGTCACTTACCTCACTACCATTTATATACATCAGTCTGAATTTGGGGCTGGCTGAGTCTCAGAGGACATAAAAAGCCAGATTTTCAAAAGCTTACAGTGCTGGAAATCTATGAAAGTCAGTGGCTGTGGCTCTGGAACCCAGGCACTATGCTGGCAGAAACTAAAACAGTAGGCCAAAGGTGAGAAGTGTTGCATGAAAGAAGTAAAATATTTAATATTGTGTGAGATAAAACTGTCCCTGCTTTAACTTAGTTTTTTTCCAGCAGTGTGAAGCTGGAAGTTCTTCCAGCCTATGCTTTGCACACAGACACTGGAAATAAAATGGAAAGAATAAAGAAACTTAGCCAGACATAAAGAGAGACTATATAAACTTGGGCAACTCTGAATTTGACCGTGATACACTACTGAATAGGTCTACATTGTCAGCTTTAGAAGATTATTGTGAGGAGAAACTATCCAAGTGAACTTATTAAATAATTTTGGCAGCCTTTTCTGGAGTGAATGTTAAACAAGAATAATTTAGACAATATAAGACAAATCATGATTTTTCTCTCTTTTTAGGAAGTCTTCAGCTGTAGCAAAAGCTATATCCTTTATTTCTTGTTTGTGAAAAACTAAGAGGATCTCAAAATTTGGCTCCATATTAGGCTAGTTATCAATAAGTATCTGTGATAACTTGTTAATTTACAGAAAAGATAATGAATTTTGCCCATGGAGTTCCCTGGAAGAATTTTCAGAAATAGAAAAAATAATAATAATTTGCAGTAGGAGAGGTACTGAGATGACAGCTTTTCTATGGACATCTCAGTGACTGATCTTACCTGTAAGAACCATATATGACTTTCTTACAGTCAACAAGAATAAATTTTTGTTCCATTTTTCCATGGAATTTTGCTCCTGTTTTAGAATAGTAATCTTGTCCTTTTACTGTCCTCACTCTCATGTTCTGAAAAAGACAATTGAAATACTTTAGTTGGTATGTATTCCATATTTAGCATTAGGGTGTTTAAAAGTCAGAGGTACAGTAGGGCAAGAGTTATATTATTGCATATTAATAAACTCTGCAGGGAAGTAAACTCTGATCAAACTTGTCCCTTCTGACCCAAAATGGCAAATTATTGCTTTGTACTCAAGACTGACGAGATTCCCCAGGCCACAGAAAATGAAATTCCACTTTTCCATGGCCACCACTCTCAAAAATGAGTTCTAGCACATGAAGTCTTCGACAAGAGAAACAGGTTTTTTACTGTAAAAAATAATAAATTATTATCACCATCTGATGTACAACATTTACAAGATTTCCAAGCATCACAGCTAATTGGAGACAACATCTAAAGAGCCAGGATCACTTTTCTTTTAATTTAACAAGTTTGCTATACCTACAAACACAGATACCCCACCCTGAGATGATCCATTGAGTGATATCACCTGGCACCAGAATCCCTTGCAGTCTTACAACCAGAAGATTTCTCAGTCAGCTTTGCACCATGGGATAAATCATATTTCTAAATTCAGAGACGCTATCACAATGTGGATAGGTAGCACGAACTCTATGCAGCAGTTAAGTTGGAATTCTATTAAGAAGCTTTATGTTTTACTCATGCGAACTCAGTAAATTGCACATAGGAAATTATCCATGTTGGATCATAAAAATGTGGTCAATTTTTCTCCCAGACTGCGGATGAAATGGATTCAGCTGAGCCAGTGTCTTTTCTTTTTCCCTCTCTACCATCAGTTATTTTTTTAAGCTCCTAGAAATAAAATAATTGAGAAGATGTCTTACAAAACCGTCTGGATGATAATAATAATAGTTTTCAAAAAGTTCTTACACGGATGTAGAAAAAAAAGCATTTATCAGAAACTGTTACAAAAAGGCGCTTATTTACAGAAAAAATAAAATATATATTCAATTCAAACCAACCTACAGCATCTACCTCATGTGGCTGTGAGATCAAAAATGTTTCACAAGACATAAAAAAAAAAGCTTGGAATATAGTTGTGAATGATCACAATATTTTCTGTAGTTTCTAGCCTTGCAATATTTGTTCTAGCAATGCTAATTTATGGTAATTTACAAGTGTTCCAGTGGGAGTGAAATCCATAGTTTAGCACTGGCAGTAAGAAAATAGAATCTATATGATTATTACATAGACTGTATATATGGAAATAGTGGAACGTAAGACTTGTGAATACAGAGGAATATCTTGCTTCATGGGACTGCTACAAGGACAGACTGAAAATCACAGTAGACATGCACTCTGTAAAGGTCAGGTACAGATGAATTAGGGCTATTCATGAAGCAATATGGCTAAGATTGTGTACAGGGTAAATTCATAAAAATCAGGAGGATAAAACAAATTAGAATAGAATAGAAAAGAATAGAATAGAATAGAACATTTCAGTTGCAAGGGGCCTACAATCATCATCTAGTCCAACTGCCTGACCAATTCAGGGCTGACCAAAAGTTAAAGCATGATATCAAGGGCATTGTTCAAATGCCTCTTAAACACTGACAGGCTTGAGGCATTGATCACATCTCTAAGAAGCCTGTTCCGGTGTTTGACCACCCTCTTGGTAAAGAAATGCTTCCTAATATCCAGTCTAAGCCTCCCCTGGTACAGCTTTGAACCATTCCAATTGGATACCCAGGAGAAGAGATCAGCACCTCCCTCTCCACCTCCCCTCCTCATGAAGCTGTAGAGATGTTTAAAATTACAAAGCATTTAAGAGTCCAGTATGACTGAGTTTGCAATACAGTTACAGAACCCTTTACTGTCTATGGGAGCACTTACACATTTATCTAAAACATATGAAGTGCTAATAGATAGAGGTTGTAGGATTTTTAATGAGCATCTACTACAATCCAATGAACTTTATCTTTCCAAATAGAAAAATCAGAGTTAGGAGAAAATATCCATGAAATGAAAGCACATTTCCAAATAACACATGCTTTCTAAATCAGTATGTATTTCACTCTTGGTATCTTAAAACTTTTATCAAAAGAAAAATTATATCAAAGAAGCAAGAGTTACACTTAAAAGCTGATCAGCTGGCAAATTACGGTTTGACTTAAGCTATCCAAGTTCTTTAAATTTTGTTTGTTAGGTGAGTCTTTACTTAGCATTCTTGTCAAGCTGTGTTTGAATAAAAATGCAACTCATTTAAAATGTACAAAGACAGCATTTAAAAATTACTTTTGTTTGTGACCTAAATGTCTTGCCAATGTGTTAGAAACATAAAACATAAAGTTTATCTCTTAATTAGATAAATAAAAGAAGCATTATCTAGAAGCGTTGTAAAATTTTAAAAGGTAAAATTTTTGCATCTCTACCTGCTGATCACCTTTGACAATCCAGCATTATGTCTTTCAAGTTTTCTGCCTTTGATTAGGAGCTTTCTAATAAATGAAAGTCGATTTTCCTGCTTTTGTAGTGCAGCTTTTTTTTAACTTTGAACAAGCCAAACCCACTGAAAAAAATTATTCTTTCTCCAGCAGCCACTCAAGCTTCAAGTAAAAATAATTAAATAAAAAGCTTTTATTTGAAAGTTAAGTAGCGTGGAAAAAATAATTCCTGAAAGAAAAAAAAATACTGGAATTTACGCACTCTAAAGATTACCACAATAGTAAACCCTTATTTACAATAGAATAAAATTTAGTGACTTAGTCATTAAATTTTCATTTACTTCAATGATTTTTTACCTAATTATATAGATCATATAATTATATTTGTATGTCAAATTTACTTATATTAAATTATACATTTACCTATATTAAATTATATTTATGTCATTATAATTGGAAAAACGTAAGTTGAGAGGCAGCTTATACATTTTTAAATAATCATAACAAGTAATGCTGGCCTAGAGACATGCCAGTTGAACGCATCAAATCTTATTGAGGTAAGGCCTGATCAGTATTGGACAGAATATCACTTGGGAATCTGGAATGCTGGAGGCACAAGCAAAGCTAATGGCTTGTAAATTACCATACTATATATATAAAAAGCTTCGCCTTAGGTACTCATAAGCTGAAATATAACTTCAAGTAGGCGTATCTACAATTTACATTAAATTGCTGCTTCTAAAAAAAATTGTCGTCACTGCTTCCTTGGTTGTCCTTTTTCTTTTCCTTCTCCTTCTCTTCAGATTATTTCTCCTGCAGCTTTTCTGTCCTGCTTCCTTAATCCTGCCAACTCATTCCCTGTCTCTGTAGGTCATCCACTACCAGACAGGAACACGGCATTAGAAAGGCATGTGCCAGAGATCACGCTCACCTTTCTCACATAACACTTCCTTTTCCTCCACAGTTCATCTGGCACTCTTCACCTACTTTAAACCCTCTAATTAGGTGCCAGGAATGCATATTTTGAATAATAGCCCAAAATACAGACAATATTTGAGGATATATAATAACAATGCATTCCATTTAGGATTAGAAGCAGTAAATATATACAAACTGAATTGCAAGCCCCATTGGGTACGAAATGCTGAGCTTCACCTTCCTACTTGGTTTCACCCTCAGGCCACAGGACTCCCATGCTAACAGTGCTAACAGTAGCGTGCCACTGATCACTGCAGAAGTGTTCTGTATCATTGTGGGTAAAGCAATAATTAATTTATGAATCCCAAGAGGAAACTCCTGGGCAAACCAGAAACCAATGAACTCAGATGTCATGAAGGAACCCAGCTAGCCCAATGGGACTCACGGAAGCAAGTAAGATTGGCCATAGTGAGTCAAACAGAAAGCCTGTCTGGTCCTGCAAGCTGTAACTCCTAGTGGATGCATTTGGAAGAATAATTTAATCAAACATTTGATGTCTTAGGAGGTTTTTGAAGCCACACATGGGATCTTCTCTCTCCTTCAAGAGCAGGCTACAGGACATTCATGGATGTTTAAAACATGCAGTGGCTGCAGGTTAAGGATGGCCATCAGGGCTATCCAGTTCAATGACACCCAAATGATAAACAGGAAACAAGCTCTAACTTCTCTTTTTGTGTATGACTGCACCATTATCTTCCCAGAGAGAGCCACATAAGCATGATTTAAAATTTTGAAGTACAATTCAACATCACACATTTAGTTTCATCAGTAAAAACCCTCCAACGTGACAGATAAGTGCAGTGAATATACTAGTCTCAAACATTTCATTTCATCACTTTTTATTTGTAGAGTCTGTTTTTATCAGTGTTCAATTACTCACTGTCAAGAATATGCACAAAGAAGAAAATGGATGTCTACCTAGTACTTAGTCTAACAGCTTTGTTCACCATTGCCAGTGTTATTTATTATCCTGAGTATCTCTTCTTACTAAGAGACAATAGTTGTTGTGCAAATGCTAACTCGTTTTCAAGTTCGCTTCTATTCTGACTTTGCATCTGATCCAACGACCACTGAAGTCAAAATCTCATTGACTTCACTGGACTCTGGAGTCCCTTAGCACAGAAGTTTGCTCACAGGTATGACACCACGCTGTACATGCCTATTTAATAACCAAATTTGACTTATACTTGGAAGCATTGGAAACATTTTATGATTTTGGTAACACTGGTGAGAAATAATAAACTGCAATCAGATCTCAAGACCAGCTCCTACTATGCATTTAAGCATGCTTATCTGCGAGTAAAATTCACAAAAGGAAAGTAAAACAAATTAATCAGTAATTCTGTTTTCTCATTCCTGCAATTCATTAAAAATCCTGAGAGGAATATCAGGGGATAAACAGTTCCTGTCAAATTGCTTTCAATATCCTCCTCTAGCAAGACGATTCTTCATTATTGACAGAGAAGCAAAAACAGGTTTCTGTAGGGCATGGAGCCTCTGCCACGTGCCTCTTATCAAATAAAACTTGAAGATCTGACATCAGCTGAGGAGCTTGATTGACTTATTGGGAATTAAATGACATTGTCTACACTGGTTCATTGTTTCTAATCCAAAATTAAGTTATTGCATTAAGCATTTTGGTAGTACTGGAGATTGTCGTCTTTGCATTTTGCAGTGCAAATCTATTTCATAGTTTGCTGCAGTACCTGTCAGTAGCAGAAAAAAAGCATCTCTCAAAAAAATTCAGCTATTAGTTTTTAAAAAAATCACCTGAAAAGGGACTGAATCTGTAACAACTCTTCATCGTTCTATGCAAAGGAATTGCTGACCAAACAAGTCAGACCAGTGACAAAGTTAATCAAAAGAAACTTAGGTAGAGAGGAGAAAAAAACAGAAACACATTAATTACTGAGAAAAAATGTACGGCAGTCAGGAAACAGGAATGAAATTGGGGAAAGATAAATGGGAAAGCATAGGAAAGGAATCGTTTATTTGAGTTCAGTTCCACTGGAAATGTTAAGGTGAACATTAAGTAAAAACCAACCCACAAGAAGAAATGCTGTAAAGAAAAGACTGAAAAAGCTCTTAGTAAACCCTACATTTCATATTGTCCTATATGGAATTCACAAAATAATCACAGAATATATAGTTTGTCTTTTTTTTACACTTATATCTTTCAGTAAAGAGGGAAATGTTCCCTGCTACACAGTCAAACTACAAACGAGGAAAACTGTCTGCAGAGATATTTAACGTAGATTTATGAATATAATCCTCTTTTTTCCATTCAGAAGACTACTGAATTGTAAACTTGAATTAGAAAATATAGTTTTGCTCATCACTGCATCTCATTTTTTACTGATCCAAAGGAAGAGAAAAAGAGCCAGAGAAGGCGTTGATTCAGAAAAGCTTTAAGGAAACTCCCCATCATGAAGAACGCCTGCCATACTCTCCAAGACTGAACCAAGTCACGCCAAAGAATAAGAAGACCAATGCTGCTAGTGCTACATCTTGAGGAAAAGAAATAGATTCATACATCTCTGTCCTCTTCTTGCTTTCACTGAACAGAAGGGGAAGACCAAAATCTAAGACCACAAAAAGTTGAAGATGGGTTGGTTTTTCGGTTGTTTGGTTTTTTTGGCTTTTTTTTTTTTTTTTTTTTTTTTTTTTTTGTGAACCTTGAGACAATGAGAAAAATGGAAAGGGAGAAAACTTCTCCAAAGTACTGACTGTTCTTTCATAGTCACCTGCAGTTTCTCTTCATCCTCAAGAAAGACACAGAAGAATTACTGTGGGAATAGTAAGTTTCTGTTCTCAGAGCAACAGTCACTGAGAGTAGCACTTGGATGAGAAGACCATTAATTTGAAGAGCTTTATTACAACCTAAACTGGAAACCCAGAACACAACAGGATTACTGCTTAGCTCTTTGGTATATATTTTTCATTTTCTGATAAACCTCATAGTATTCTAAGTAAACCTTGCAGAGTAAAGATGTATAAAATACATCTCCCATCATCACGAAAGAGAAACATACTAAAACACAATGTTACTGAAGAGGTCAAGTCCAAAATTCTCCAATCCACACTAATCCATGCAAAATCCACTCTAATGTATGTACATCAATTCCTTCAATAAAACCATATTAAAAAGACAACCTTGAATCCACCCAAAAGAAGGTAAGCTTTTGAGACAGCTGTAGATACACATTGCATAGAATTAATGTGTAAATGAATACTATGTTATTTTTTGAGTTATCACTTGAAATGCATGCTCCTGATTGCTTTTATTTTGTGAGGATAAAACTCATGCCATAAAAAAGACATACACCATTTTGGCAACCTCTATGGCAGAGTTAACCCAAGTAATCAGCAAATGGCGGTATCTCAAGTTCCAGGGTATGGAAATATTGCCAAATCCTGACTTCATGAAGGCAGTCACGACCAGCGTTTACAGAACCACATGTTTTTTGATGTTTTCTTTCCAAAAGTTCCCATACCTCTGTGCCACCAGAGGGCAATCCCTCACACCCATACACAAGAAACAAGCATAGAAAGCGGTGTGGGAATACTTTTAAGGACCTAAGTGAACACTCCAGAGCAAAAATTGGTATAAAATACAGGTTTGATCCAAAATTCTACCAAAAAGCCCTCTTTATCCTCACAAATACAACCCATCTGTATCTGAGTCTTGGACTGGGTTCCTAAAATGTATGCTGCTAAGAAGAGCTGTTATAGAAACAAGGAACTGCAAGCGCAACTATACAGAAGTTCAGCCAAGGAAGAGCTCAGAGCTTTGCAAAGAAACTCTGGCAGCATTCTTGGAACTTCTTCAGTGCTATTTATAGTACAGTAAATCTAGAAGTACTTATGAAGCATTTAGTTCAGGTCAGTGCAGCTCATGTTTTGTATTCTAATCCCTGTTAAATATTAGGGTGGTACAGGACATCTTGTGAAAAATGTAAACGCTAGTCTTCTCGCTATCTTTCTTAGAGGATAAAATTACGTATTTCGTGTATAAAAGTAATATTCTCTAAGACGATGCAAACAGACATGATAATATGGATTTTCAGGGAAACATTAATAAAATAGAATCTTGGGCCTTTTAAAGTATTTTAATACATAATAACTTTAAAGAAAAAGATCATAAAATGAAGTATGCAGTTTATTGATTTACATAATCTTTATGACTCTATTTGCAGGCTAGTTTAAGAGAAAGCAAAAAGAAGCAAAGTTTTTCAAACATTAGGAATGCATTAGTATTCGTAAATACATAATAATGGAAAATTATTTTATAAATAATACATGAAAAATTATGCCATACTATCAAATACTCTTTTCTGACACATGAAGAAGATAATTTTTCCAAAGAGAAAAACATTTGTAAAGAAAGTTCTGCTGATAGCGTGCCTATTTTTACCTCTTAGTTAATTTGGAAAAGCAGTATGCAATAATCACTTTGTGAATACTAGTCCCTATTCAGGATGTTGTGGAGGAATGAGTAGTGAATGTTCATGCACAGGAACACAGGAAGCCTTACCCTGAGCCTCTGAACTTGACAGCCTTGTTTCTCCGTCATTTTCAGAAACTGACTGAAGTTGGATTCATCAAGCAGGAGATACACTGCAATCCCTCTAGCAGACGCCTCCACAATTTCTCTAAAGATATCCACATCTGTAAACATATCCATAACGATGGCAATGACCTGAATAAAACAGAAAACCACAAATTATTGTATTGCATAAACATATATATGAAACTCTTCACTGAAGTTTGCACTGGGTAGCTAACACACTAATATTTTTTCATATCAAACAGTTCTAATATTTCCCATGTAGTACCACTTAACCTGGAAGGATTGTCAAGACCACTGGATCTTCTTTTTGAGAAGTCAGGTGGTTGCTTGTGTGGCATTTGTGACAAGTATCAAAGCCTTGCAAAATGTTGTCATGTGGGTGTGTGTAGTGATTGGTTATACAATGAAAAGGAAATCCAGTGGAAGAGAAGGGAAGGGGAAACAGCAGTATGAATATAGTGGAAAAAAATCAAACCATCAAAATATAACTGCAGTGTGTATAAAAAATTCAGATAATGTTTTTTATACAAGGGGTTCTTCATCTTTCATCTTCTCTAAGGCTAATGGCTCAAGAGCTTGACAGAGTCAATAAGCAGCCATTGAAGAGCTGGAAGAGTTGAGGACTTCAGGATCCATGATGATTCAGCACTCTTACTGGGATGAAACTTCCTCAGCTGGTAAGAGCTTGGTTTGAGAAGATTAGAGTGTGGAATACCACCTACCAATGCCCTTCAACTTATGGGGATAAAGTAAGTATTTCTGAATGGGAAAAGCAATGTCCAGCTAATGATATTTTGGAGACAATATGCTATTGACATATCATTAGCAATTTAGGAAGAACTAGTATTGAAGCGTTGGAGGAAATAACAGAGGGATAACATGTGTGTGTAACTTTTAAAGATAATATTCTTATCCACTAGAGTCTTCATGAAAAGTTCCAATGAGATGTCTCAAGTGCAAATTCAAATCAAATGAAGCCTTTCACAGGTATCAGAGCAGGACTGATACTGAGCATGCTTTACTATTTTCACTACTCTTTAAACTATCTGCACCTCAACCTTAACGGTGTTGTTAAATTACAATCACTCATCTTATTCCAGAACTGAAACATTTCCCTCACTCACAAAATTTGGTACATGCTGTTGCACACACCCAGGTAAAAGTTCAGAAGTTCAGTCAGACTTCTGAATTACCTTTTTGAATCCTACCTGCTTAGAAGTAAAAGATGCATGCCAAACATGTACTTAAAACACTAGAAATATTAATGAGAGCTGACCTACAAAAAATAAAAGCAAAATATCTATGTCATTAGGAAAGGTAAAAAGACCACTCCTGAAGCAGTAAAAATTAAAGGACATGGCCTTACCATAGTGTGTCACCTGGCAAGAGACTCTACAAATCCAACAGTCAGAGAGGAACTGAATAGAGAGAAATAATTCAACTCTTTCAAAAATCTTAGGTAATATCCCCATGTACTACCTCATCCATTTTATTGACTTTTTCAAGATAAAACCTAAATGTGATTTTTAACAGTACAAATTCTATTTATCTAAATTTGAAAGGAAAGACTGAAAAACACACAAGTTTATCTTGACTCTAAGGACCTCATCACTTTCAGACTGTACCTTCTGCTTGGCCTTGTTTCTGAGACACATAAAGTTAACTGAACATGGCAACCCTATTTATTCATCTGTCTTGTTTCACTTATGTCTGTGCAGAAATCTGCCAAGACAGATCAAGTGTGTTAGGTAAAAAGACCAAAGAAGAAAGTCTGTTCTCCAATAGTTCAGTTTCATTACCTTTGACACCCTCCCTCTGATCTCCCTAATTTCTTCTTAAGCTTTCCTAACCTTCAGGTCTTTTAGAAATAGGGGCTCTTTATATTCAAGGATATATTTAAATGTAAGAGAGAAATCCTGAATGGATTCGTTAGCATACACTGACATGAATAAATGAAATACTAAAAATCAACAGCACAGCCTTCAAAAATCATTCTAACATTTTCATACGGCAGATATCTAAGATGCTAATTTGTTTGCAGCATCTGTGGTTGCAAAGACTAATACACTGGAAATATACAGAAAAGAAAAAAACAAGAATGAGTAATAAAAACTAAAAACCAACACTGACTAGAATGGCCATATCTATCTTTATGAAGATGGAAGGAGAGAAATAAATACATAAGAGCAAGCAGGCCAGTAAGTTGGTGGGATGAGAGAGATGCATGTGCACTACTGTGCACGTATTTCATAACTTGTGAATGAACCGGGAAATCCTCTTTGTCTTCACCAGTAGAATTGTTCTTAAACCATTTAGCTTATTAATTTTGGTGTTAATTCTGCAAAGCATCAAAGCAGTCTTGCGAGTAAAAGTAGTTTCAATGTTTCAATTCCAGAGTTGGAATAGGGATTACATTTTGAAACTTAAGGCCTGTGCTAGCTGAAAAATCCTCACCAGATTTAAGGACATGTATGCAAAGCCACAGTTGTGATCTGACAACCAACTGCACATCCATTTTTGCATTCCCTGCAAACCAAAGATGACTCTTGTTGTATGCCCTCATTAGCCTGCCCATTCACTCACAGCAACACTCAATCAATCTAGTCAACACAAAGATAATAAGGCTCAATTGCTGGAGGAAGAAGAGTGCCAAATTTGAACAATGCATATGATATACATTCATAAGTAAAAACTCATTTACAGTGATAAGGTCATTTCTGTATACTGATTTCTATAAATCAGACTAGGTGTTTGATCATAAACTATGGATTTTGATGCAGAACAAGTGGATTCCACAAATGTCATAGAATAGTCTGGCTTCAAAATGTATTAAACTTCCTTTTTTTTG